GCCACTGTCTCTGACGATGGGTTCGAGAGAGAATCCAACGAGTCAAGCGAGTAAAGCAATTGATCCAGTGATCGCTTCTACTTCTTATTAAATGACACACTGCTGATTTGAGTCCAGCTGCCTCCACGACGTGGCCATATCACGTGCGTTGCAATTGGCAGGAGGGGTCATGAGAGAATAACCAGACTGACGAGCAAGATAACGGACTGTCACAGTCAAACAAGCTCACCTCAACCGCTGACTGTTCTAACACACAACATCACCGCCACCGCCACCGTTAAGGACAGGTTAGTTTAACGGTCTTCGGCTAGATCGCAATTGGTAGCCAGAACACCTATTACAGGTGGCGGGGGTTTGTTTACTGGGGCTATTTTATGGGGCTCCATAATCACATCTGACCCATTTGGCTTCCGTTATACGTTTGAGGTTACGAGTAGGGTACCGTTTAATGGTTTCCGATTTTCGGGTTAAGGTTAGGGTTTGAGAGGACGATTAGGTTTCAGTATTATGGTTAGGTTTTCAAGTTACGGCTATGTCTAAGGGCTACGGTTACGTTTACGATTTCGGTTACGGTTAGGGTTAGGGTTGACGTTAGGGTTAACGGTTAACGTTTAGGGTTAGGGTTCGTTTTAAGGTTAGGATTAGGGTTAAGGTCGCCGTCCGCTTCCCCATTTCTGGCTACCAATTGCGATCTAGCCCGGTCTCTTCTTCTTACTCAGCACAGGTATGGGCAGGGCAAATGAAATTAAATAGAGCCAACTGGCAGAGCGCCAGCCAGATGCTAGGGGTTACCCAAATCCACAAATCCCACCTTTTGCCTCGACTACTCGTAGCCCTAGGCGGCAGCCCAGTCTGCCGGGAAGTCAGTAAAATCGGCATCTCAACTACTCAATAATTCCCGCGAGCCAAAGTGGAGCTTCAAGAGGCGATAATGTTCTTCGACGTGACACTGCTCTTTGCATCCATCTCACCGCATTTGGTGCGCAAGGCTATACGGTGCGTCCTGCATGGAAGTATGGCAAATCACGGGCATGTCTTTACTGATATTGTCATCATACTTGAGTAATATTCGTATACAACAGTCATTATGTTGTACACAGCAGCGATGGGAGCAGGGACGATGACTTGCGCAGGGGTTTATAGTGTCAGTAGACTTTCGTAGCATCTACCTACACTCCCCTCCCCCCCGCCTGGGCCCGGTGTCAAGACAGAGTCAAGAAGACCGGAGACGAGGGAGGCCGAAGGTGGATGGCTCGGTCGGATCCTCGTCTTGGCGCTCTACTCCGCACACCCTGGACAAACTTTACTGCCGAGGAGGTGGGTACAGAAGGCCCTGCAAGCAGTCGCCGCGAGCTGTCCCTCCCGGCAAGTTGATTGTCTGCCGTTGAGTTTGTCTCCTCCCCCTCCCCCCCTCCCGTCCGCCTCCCAGGGCGTGTGGGCCCCTTTCGCTCTGTCCCGGTTAGCGTCCAACAGACAATTAGAGAATGGGCAATGTTGATTGGCTTCGAGCTATCGTGAGAATAGTGGGAAGCCTCGCGCGGAAACCATCTTCGCGGACGACGAGGGCGGGGACGATTTAGGTCACGGTGACATGCGGGGCGAATGCAGTCACACAGGCGGCATTGGCAGACCACGCAACAAACAAAATGCCCCCTATAAGCAGAGCTGTGCAAATCGCTTCCCCATGCTGATCTGCATGACACCTTCCGAGGTGGCGTTGAGAGCGCAGTTGTCGGCAAAGAGAAATACGCGATTGAAAGTACATCAGCCGCTGATTGAGTAGGTGGCCGTCCGTCCTGTAGGCGATACCGATCCCAGTCCATTCGTCACGGTAGGCATCCATTAGTATTCCAGTGGCTAGGAGAACGTGGGACTGAAGAGGCTAGGTGCGAGAACGCATCCCTGATTCACTCTGTTGGTCACAGTGAATGCCTCTGAGACAGCTGTATTGTCCGTGACTCGCGCCATCAGGCCATCGAGGAACTGACACACCATCTGAGTGAATCGCTCGGGACAGACGAGTTTTTGCATAATTTTCCACCGTCTGTCACGATTCACCATGTCGAAGTCTTTCGTCAGATCCACGAGGGTAGAATAGAAGTGGGTCGACATCTGCTGACACTTTTCCTGTAGTTGAGGGGCGGCGAAGATCATGCCGGTTACTGCAGAAGCCAAACACTGCCATATTTTGACGGGTAATCGTTTCTTCGTTCCAGTATGGCCTTCGTGGATGCAGGGTGGGTGGTTCGTGCGTTACAAGGACTCGAGTGCGCAGTTTGTGGTTAGAAATCATCAGATAGGTCAGGAACGGTATCTGTCATACTCCCACGGCCATCGCATCGTGTCTTGAAGACGGCGATGATGATCAAGTAGGGTCACACCTGAACAACAAGACACCCAGGAACATTTAATTATCAGCCATTTGGAGGCATCGTCTCCCGTCTAGTTCCGAAATTTCACAAGTTGGCGCAAGTAATGGTGCACTTAATCACCTGTAAAGGGGTGGAAATGTGTAGCTCGAAAGTTAGACTGTCGGTACGGTAGGCGACCTAACTAATGAAGGCTAATGAGCCTACATAGGACAGCAGGGTGTCGCAGAGGCGGTGACATGCGTGTGATTTAGTTTATAATGGTGGTAGACTTACAATGCATCTACCCCAGTCTCTCTCCTTCTCATCCACAACCGCCTGGACCCCTGGTAAGTTCTGGCTATGCAGCCCCACCTGATGGACACAATACTGTTGGGGTCGGGGTTATGGATTAGGGCGGCTGGATCTCAACCGTTCAAGGTATTTCAATTTCCAATAGCTTTTCTTTTACACAAATTACTTGACATCTTCACCCGCGGGTTCGACGGCCGCACCTGCAAAAGCTCCTATTACCGCCGGTCTCGTATTACTTATGGCTGGGGTTTGTTTACTTCAGGCGGGATTACATAACCACACCTGATGGGGCTCATTTTTCGTGACAAAATCAAGAAGACCGCAGGTGGAAGAGAACCGCGCCTCGCAGAGGGCGCTGCGTGCATGCGCGCGAGCGTGCGTGTGAGCGTGCGTGCGAGCGTGCGTGCGTGGGTGCACACATGACCTTTGTCCGCCTACAATCCAGATCAGCAAATGACACGTCGTGGCCATATCACGCGCGTTGCAATTGGCAGGAGGTGTTACTTAGGCTGACAGAAGGCGTCATGAGAGAATAACCAGACTGACGACCAAGAGAACGGACTGCCACAGGCACCCAAGTTCGCCTCAACCGCTGACTGTCCTACCACAGAACATCCCAGCCACCGTCGCAGGACGGGTAAGTTATCAGTTGGCTAGTCTTCTTAAAATTTGAATTTGAGTCGTCATTTCCTTCTACTCTTCATTCACATGGGAATTTTATTATATGTACATCTGTTGGCCTATTTCACGCATTATAAACAGAAATTTTCCCCCTTTGTTTATCTGAACCCCACTCCACCCTAAAAGGGTAACTTGGTAGAGAAAGTGTTCTAACTGATCGAAAGCATGTTCTTTGTTAAGTTTTGTTATGGACGCTCATTTTGATGAACGACGGGGTTTCATGGGAAATAACGCCTAAACATTCACTACTTCGGCAACCGCCCTCCAGAAGTATTTTGGTCCAAAGGTTGCAGTAAACACAGCACAGGGTCTGTGCAATCCACGGAAAACACTGAAAATCTCAAGGTATGCAGCGATGTCTGAAGGCTGATCTGAAATTCAGTCTAGTCTAGAACAAACAAGACGTCCGAATTAGTTTTACGGAAGAAAAGTCCTGCCAACATGTGCTCTTATGAGAACTTTTATTCCCATGGCATCCCCGTTGGCGAAATCAAGCGAAATCCTCTTAAAGGATATTTAAATGTGAAATTAGCTACAAGACCGCTTTCAGACGTTAGCCTTTTAGTACTGCTTAATTTACTCGTTTTCTGTATGAGCAGACATGCCGTACATTTAGAACTGGATTTTACACGATTGCAACCATCTT